GGGGAGTGGGGGGAATGGCCCAGGGGACAGGAGAACTTATCCCTTCGAATGGGGTCTGCGGGTTGATGGGGGGGTCGGGCGGAGTTTAATCCGAATAGATGGGACTTGGGTTCCTGTTTTTTTTTACCCCGTTGCCTTTTGCGGAGAGGGGATGAATGGGCTTTCGGTGTGTCGGGTGTAAATCTCGTGTGGCTTCCGTGCCCTTTCGAGTCCTGCAGAATTTCTGCGTGCCTTCGATTTTTCAGTGCGAAGTACTTGCCAGTTGAGTGGCATGCGTCAGATCGGAATTCAGAATTTGCTTTGATGTGAACTCATTGAACTCCGTGGGAGGAAATTCCCCAAGGAACTCATAATTTATTTTTATTATTTGGAATCAAATCAATGAACCCTCAAAAAAAAAAAAAGGAAGCCAGCGATGGAAGCGAAAAGCGACCATATGCACTAAACGCCCCGATGTGCCACCAGGTCCCAACCCGCCTCGAGCCCCAAGGTGCACCGACGGAAGAAGCCGGCGCCCCCGGCCCCGAAGGAGCGACCGGAGAAGCCCCCACCGCCCCGCCCTCATGCCCCCGCGAGCGTCCCCCTCGCCCCGTCCCCCGCCCCCCGCCCCAAGCCCCGACCCTTGGAACAGTTACCAGTGATTCATTCCCTGAACGAGGAGAACGGGAAGCCCGACGTCCCGGTGAAGCGTTCTTGGAGCCTCCACGGTGCTCGCCAGGTTCTGCCTTCCGGCCCCCCTCCCATCGGTGAGTCCCGATTTCCCGTCCGCGAAAGCCGCCGGCCGACTCGATCTCGACCGTTCCCTTCGAAACCTCAGGATTCCACGGCCTGGAGTCTCGCGTGCACGAGGCACCGGCGACCGCGCAGGAGCAGCCGACGGAGCCCCCACCGAAACCCCAGGATCTCCTCGTCGACGAGAAGTGGAAGGAGAACGGGACGGAGGACCGCCTGCCGAGACCCATCGGATTCGTCGTGGATCCCCCGCGGCCGGTTCCCGTCGAGCGGAAGACGCTCAAGTCCTCGCCCGCCTCCCAGAGTCCTCCCGCCAAGCCGAGAGGTCTGTTTCCGTCGTGGAGGGTTTCGCTCGTGTTCGTCTCGCGAGAGTGAAGGAGTCGCGATGGTTTCCCGCAGATGTGGAGGCGAGAGCGAAGCCCACGGTGCCCGAGCGGCCCTCCATCCTGAAGAGGAACACCATCGGCGAACACGCCGCGAACAACAGCATCAAGGTCCAGGTCCGCAACAGTGTCTTCTCTCAGCCGTCTCCTCCGTCGCCCGAGGTAGACCTCGTCTTCGCCTCCCTTCCTTCCGGCTTGGGTGAACGGCGTTGCTATGTTGTTTGCAGAAATCCGGGAGCGCCGATGGAGAGGTCGCGAATGCCTCCGTCCACGATGTGCCGCCCAAGCCTCCTTTCAAGAGTGAGTGCGTTTCCGTCCTTCCCTTCGCTGCACATTTGTCATTAGCCGTTCTTTCCTTCCCGTGTTACCCTTCCGTGCACGTGGGGGTTTTCGCTGCCCTTGTGATTCGGGTTGTCCTTCCGTCGGATGTGCTCGTGCCGTTTGTAGTAGAAAGAAAAACGGAAAAGCCTCAAAATGCAGTCACATGAGCTTGATCAAAGTGTGTACTTCGTGAGGTTGCCCTCTTCTCATTCGTGCGAAGAATTTCCTAAGGATTTAATTTCTTTTCGGCTGGAATACGTGCCTTTTTCTGGCTTGTACGATAGAAATGTTGAATATCTCTGATCGATGCGACCATGTAGTGATGGTGCTTTGGATTGTAAACCTTGTTCCATATCTGCATGCCACATGCCAACCATTGGAGGATGCTCTGGATATGAACCTCATCTTCTTTTCTTGCATGAGTCAGACAAGGAGCACCGTGGAAAGGGCAACAAATGGCGACACTCGCTCGGAAAATACCGATTTCCATCTGTTTCGAAGCGCAGTTGCAACTGCCATCCTGTGTGGAAAGCATGGTTGTAGCACTTATAAAAGCCAGTGGATCCATGAAGTGTAATTTGAGCTCCACCTATGCTGTTCTTTTCATATATCAAGTGATGCTAGAACTAGTCTTAAAAAACCCTTTACAGGGGGGTAAAGGGTTTGTTAATGGCATCACATGATTCAGTATGAGGTAGCATTAAACACGTCTCGAGTAACAGAGTCTTTGTCACGACAACTACATCATCTGTACCTTGTTTGAATGCAGAATTAAAGATGAGTAATGAAAATTGCATAGGTGACAGTACAGTTCCTCTTGACACCAGTCCTGCAGGGTTCAGCACTCAGGGAATCACACACCAAGAATGTAGTTTTTGTGTGCACTTGCAGTTGGAGAGCTTTTGTGTCATTCAGTTTCAAGTACAGGTTAGCAGTGGAATTCAATTTGTTGTCTGGATGGATTTCTGGAGATTCACTGTGCAGTAGACTGTTAAAAAGAGTGGTTCCACTTAGGAATGTGATGTCCTACTTTCAAAATTGAAGTTAAGGTTCTATTTCCCCTGTTTCCATTTCCTTGCATCTCGTGGCTGATGGCTGGGATTCCTATCGGCGTTGTGTAGATATTTAAAAGATTAGAATTGTATGTATTCAATATTGAAGAGAGTGTATGCATGCTGGGTTGCCTGCAGATGTGTCATCGACCTCAGAGGAGAGTGAGGACGATGTTCCTCCTCCGTTGCCTGAAAAGACCAGAAAGCATGGCTCTGGTGAACCCATTACCCAACAAGGTAAATCCCTGTCCCCCTGTCTTCTTTGACTTCTTTCCATATTAGCTCGATGCAGCTGCATGCCGCCTTGCACCTTTTGAGTGAGTGGCTGATGGCTGGTTGAAAACATTTTCATGAATTTTTTAGATTCAGATTTTCTTCATGTAAAATAAAAATGACAGGTGGACAAAGAATCCAAAAGTGTTGAAACCAAAACACAGGCAAGAAAATACAGTGAGTTTGCCTGAAGTGGTGAAGAATGCAGAATTGACTAATCTGCATCCTTATTGTAGGGGCCATGCCCTGTCTGGATATGACGGTGAATTCTGCCGGAGGACCCGGCGGAGTGGAAGGAAGACGGAGCAGCGGCGAGGGCGAGATGACGTGTCTGTGATCCATCGATCGTCCGTCCGTGCCTCTTCGACTTCCATCGCATCCCATCAATCTCTTCTCTTCTGTTACCTGCCTAACATTTCAACCTCGATTGCCTTGGACTCAAGTGATGGGATTTCGTCTCGGGTTTGTGGCTCACGAGTTCCTCGGTTTCGTTCGAATAACGGTTGCTTCTAGTCTCTTTGATTCTGCTTCTTGGCATAATTATTATTCATCTGCTTCCTTGCTGAACTTAAACCAAAATATTTCCGAGTTGGAGGCTCCAGATTGCACTTCGAAAGTCACATTCGTGCTGTCAACGTTTTTATCTTACGGTAAGAAAATCGGAATCTAAAAATTTATGGAGGAAAAGTTTTCTTTACAGTGAATGGTGGTCATTCAGCAGACAGGGTTGTTTGTTATGCTCAATGTCATGGTTCTTCTCATTTTTGGTACATTCCGTGGTCCTGGAATAGGACTTTAATCCTGATCAATGTTATGACATGTGTTTCTGTTCTCTTACATTCACAAGGCGACTCTGTGATGACTATTTTCTCCATTCAGCTTCCGCGTTGAGTTTCTTCACAGTGCAATGGGATCCTTGAAGCTCTCCTGTGATAGACAGTTAATTCTTTTTGGCAGTTTCTTGCCTTTTGTCCATCTTGCACCTGATGCTGGTGCTAGTCATGTATGTTTCAGTGAGTACAACCATGCCAGAGGTCAATACTAAGGGAATAGATGGACTCAGATTCTATGTCTCCCTGATCTATATGGCATTTTCAGTTGTCATATGAATCCCAAGATATCATATTTGTATATCAATTCCAATGAGGACAATCACAGTAGAGCTGGGGTGCTTCTGCCTTTCACATGGGTCTGATCTCTTCCCAGGACAGACTATTGTTATAGGCTATGTATGTAAGAACCTATCTATGACTTATGCTTTTCACTCATGTCCTCCAGAGAATAAAGCAGGATTAAAATTGCCCGTCTTGTCACTTCCCACCAGTTGGAATGAAGCAATTCAAGTCCAATTAGTTTTCATTTTTATTTGAAAATCCAAGAATTTCTTGGTTCAATCAAACAAGGATCGAATATCACACTAAGATATCACTTGGAGGAATAACATCAATACGCTCTCTGTACAGCTTCCACTGGGACAGAGAAGACGCAAGGAAGAAAATAAGTCTCATCAGGAGTCTTTTCTGACCTATGACTTCTTTTTTTTTTAAGGGGGCTCTACCAAAATAAAGACAGAGGGAGGAATAAAAAAAATAACATTTCCCTCTTCCCAACTTTGTCTTAACCCCTTCCAGAGAAAAATATTCAGCCAATTGCAGAAGAGTCTTCTCAGCTGTAAGATTTCTCATCACACCCTGTCCAGTACAATCCACAAGAAAAAGGACTCAGCACCTTTCACACAGGACAGAAAATGAACTAGAAAAATATGTTCAGCAGCTGGGGCTCTCGTCATTTCAAATGTCTCCCGTCACCAAAACGTATTTACAGGGAACTTTGAAGGTGCATGAAGGACAGGCTTGCAGGTACTCAAGAGGGAGATAAGCACAACCTGTACTCTAGGCAGAGAAGGATTTAAAAAGTCCTGTACAACACCTTTGCACCTGTACAAGTACATGTACATATTCTTCAAACAGATACTTATGCTCAGGGTACAAAAATGACCAAGGCTTCTGGTACAGTACTGTGTCCCACTTTGCTGCTATCATGGGAAGAACAGAAAAAACTCCACACAGTGATTTCAGATTGACTTCACCCTCTACCCTCCATCTGTAACACTTGTCAGAACTACTCGAGAGTCCAAAATGATAAGGAGTATCCACAACGAGGCTAGAGTAATATCAGGAGTGCAGAGTGTGACATGGCTTGAGTGTATAAGGAACATCAATTAATGCACTTCAATAGGGTGATTGAGGATTGTGGAATCTGTCCAAACATTTACAGGCAGAAGCCAAACCAAAAACACTGTAACTATGAAACTCATTCCAAGTTTCCTTCCTAGAATGGGAAGCATTTCAAGAAGCTCAAATGCAATAGTTCAAGTCATATTCCAGAGTTTGAAAGGGGGTTGAACATGAATACAGCAAATCCCTTCTATACTATCAGGAGACCATGGATAGAAAATCTGGCAGAACAGGAGCTTGTTTTGTCAGATTTTCCATTTCCCAATATGGACTTCTTTTCTACTTTTTCCAGGTTCTTGGGCTTTATTGATGACCCATCTTTGTGTCATGATATTAAGTCCCACCAATGCTTCTCATCCAGAAGCTTGATATGCTGCATTTCCTCCAGCCTTCCAGGGCTAAAGATATCAGTGGTTTACTATGCAGGGAAGAGTGCATATAAATAGGAACAAGGGAGACCTGGTTCTTGGCTAAGCAGGCATCAAAGGAAGAGATTATGGAGTACATCAGCAGGATGTCAGACAAGAGCGTGAATGCATGTGCAAGTACGCATTAGCATGAGGGGTGCGAGGCATGTTAAGTATAAGATGGACTGTTGCCCTGTTGTACTTCCTAGTACAGAAGGGCTGGAGGAATGCCAAAGAGTAAATAAACTTTATTTACTAGCCTGTGCTCTTACTGCTTCCATAATGGTGTCCCACATCAGGAAACCAGAGTGTTTTGAGCCAGACTTTGAAAATTACTCTAGGAATATTTTGCTGTGAGCATGGAATAGAGGGGCACCATACCATGAAATGTCTTTCTTCTCTTTTTCTATTGAAATTGTAGGAAAATCACCCATAGGACATTGGTCATATGGGTGATTTTGGGTAAAGCTTTTTGCAGTCATTTCACTGCATTTGGTCTAACAGGGTTTTGCTGCATTCCCAACCACCCCATTTATGTCACCTGACCTGAGATCCAATCCTTCCTCCAAAACTCTGAAAGTCAAAAATATAGTGTGCAACAGGTTGTTTCTAGGCTTCACTAAGGATGCTGCTTTTCCTACAGCTGTGCCAACAGAATACTGTCCTGTGCACACATCAAAACAATCTAGAAAAAAAAAATGGCAAAGGTTGTACTGTAGTTGCAGCATTGATGTCAACGAGATGATGACCTTAAGTGATGCCCGATTCTAGGGTCAAAATACCAGAAATGGGGTCATAATCTCCGGCAAGGAAGTAAATGTCGCTGCTGTCAAGATGTGGCCCGAAGCGGGCTATGCGCTCACTCTCGCTGGTCTTGATTTTCAAAAACTCTGAATATGGAAGAACCTCACACTTGTGAGAGATGGTCTGGACGTCATTCTCATCCATGTGTGGAGACTGGAACAATGCTCCCTGCAAAGAGAACATCTTTTAGATGAAGACCACATCTCCTCTCCTGGTATAAGTTCTAAAAGGATAAGAGTTCTGATGACTGACCTTGGTGGGGCAAAGTTTCTTGCCTCCCTTGGCCTCCTCAGGATGGTAGAACCACTTGACCTTCACCAGCATGTTCCCACCCCACGCTTCCCACATCATCTCGATCTGGCCGATGTAGGGACGGTCGGGCCGCCCCGTCGACAGGAACACGGCACAGTCCCCGACCCGAATTATCTCCTCTCCGCGTTGGATGGCTTTGTGAAATTCTTTCTTGGTGCGGCCCTTGGCCTGTCGCTTGTATCCCTTGGAAGCCCAACTCCATAACTGCCTATCTGGAAGAAAGGCTGCCATCTTGCTCCTGGTCTCAGACACGTGCCTCTCACGCTTTGAAGGCTCTTCCTGCTCTGCAGATGACTCATCCTAAAAGCATCATGACAAGAGAATCAGATCTGTAAATGCTGTTGATATTTGCCCATCATGCTTGGTTTCAAGTCTATGGTAATACCTCAGGGCTTGATCCTTCACGTTCCTGTTCCTCAGTTGATGTGAATCCACTGCTGGTTGAATCCTTATGCCTGCTTTCCTGTACCACATTTGTATCTTCATTCTCCTTTTCTTGCATCTCTTCTTCCTTCTCCTCCTCCCTTTCTTTAGTCTCTTCAGGCTCTCTTGGTGGGCTATTGGAGATGGTGTACCAGTAGGTGGCCTCTTCACGGTGTTTCTTCTTGTGTTTCTTGTGGTGGTGACCATGATGCTTGTGGTGGTCTGAGCTACTCCTCCTCTTTTTCTTCCTCTTCTCTCTCTCTTTCTTCTTAACCTTTTTCTTCCCTTTCTTTCGTTTCTCTTCTCCCTTCTCCTGTAGGGCATTGAAAAATCATACTCTTGAAAAGAACTTTTTTTTTTACTCATTCATTTATTTAGACCCATTGATTATCTGAAATATTTATACTCTGATAGCTTCATTTTGAATCCTACTTCATCATGTCTAACCATTATGTGTACTGGTTCATGATAAGGTATAGAAGCAAAAATGCTTCTATTGGACCTTTTGAATCCAACTCATATTCTGTACAACTAGTCATTATTCTTAATTTCATGCCAATAGAGACTTTGCATATCAGCCTACAAATCTACAAGAGTGTTTAAAAATTTTCATTTTGTGTGTAGAATGAATGAAGCTCCTGAAAGCTGTTTCATATACTGGTAATCAAGTCTGCAAAATGGGGAACACTTATTTAAAACAGATCTGAAATCCCTAATGAATACTACAACACATAAGCATATATTCTTACACTATAGTTCTTCCTTGTGCTAATTTCAGCCAATCTGGACCATATTGCTCAAAGCCAATAAGCTGTCTGGAAACATTCAGCTAGGCAAGGAGTAGAAAAAAGTGAGTATTTTTAAACTAAAAAAATCTGTAAATATGAAGGATGCACACAGAGAGATATGCATGTTCCACTCCCAATTCAAGTTATGACTCAATTTCCACATAAGGGGGAAAAAGAAGACCCAAATCCCTCCTTGAAAAGAGGAACCATATCGTACCATCTCCTGTGATGTATCATCAACAGGACCTTCAGTGTCTGTTCCATGGGCACTCTTTCCATCCCTGTGTTCGACAGAAGTTCCAGAGGACCGTCGGCGTCTCCTTTGCAAAGACATCATTGGGTCTGGGTCGTGTTCTGTTGAACCATTTACATAATATATATGAGGAATTGTAAGATGATGCAAATAGATGCAAAACTATTAGCATGATCTTGAAATTGACTTCCAAACCATCACGTCTACGGAAAACTCACCCACAATAGGGTAGTCGGGAGGAAGATACCGCACGTGATGAATTGGAATGCGGCCACTGTCACCATCATCAAATTCAACCATGATGGATCCTCCTGGGGAAGACATCTCATCAGACACCATCCCTGGATACAGGCAGCGATACTGCTGGCTCCAGTATGCACAAATTCTAACACCAGCAACCAACACCTCAGCAGAACTTGGCTTCTCTTCTCGGATCTGTGCCATGAGGAAAACAAAAACAATCTAATGAGGCTAAACCCCACACAACTTTCCTTCAACCTGAATTCGTTTCACTCACGGCCTTTTGAAGAATCTCTTCACGAGAGTAGATGTGGGGCCGATTGCCCCGCTCCCCATCAATGGTCACACCATAGACATCGGGAGGCTGAATGGCACTAAGACGGCCCGGATGGAAACGGCCCTCGTGGAGAATCAGGACTCTCTGGCCATCCATCAGCTCCTCCTCTCCCAGAACACACTTCTGGGACTCTTGTTCCGCTGCAAGAGATCTTGAGCATGGTGGACAAGGAAATTAAAGGAGATTAAAAAAATGATTCTGTTGGACTGACCTTGAGTCAGGGGCTTCCTGGGGGAGGGTTTCACTTCTTCATGGGTCTCCTGAGCAGGAGGAACAGGGGTCTTGGGTTTTTCATCATGCTCCTGCAAAGATAAAACAGGCTTTCTGCTGGATTCAACAAGTAAATTTGTGTAATTAATGCAAGGAATTAGGAGAGAAATACACACAGGTATTTATTCATACCCAACCAAATGTACACTAATGTCACCTTTTTATTAAATTTCCAATGGTAATAAAATGGATATGGAATATATGTCCACTAGAAATTCTTCAAGTGCAAAGACTGAACAACCACCCTATCTCTTCTTGTACTATTGCCTGCATCTGACAAACATAAAAATGTTCACTTCTGGACTACCTAGATAAGTGAAACTCATACCCAATTATTGAACTTCACCATGTTATTCCATTAAATTTTAAAAAGAGAACTCATAATTTGGAGAAAGGTAGATTATCATATCATATATTAGCAACAGTTAATACATATGGAGACACTGTCGAAAAACATGCATGAGGTGGGATTTCCATGCAGATGAACATAGATCACCTCACCTCATCTTCTGAATCCTGACTCTCATCAGAGGAAGACACTGTATCTTGTTGAATGATTGTCTCCACAGTCTTGACCTGAGGTTCAGCCTTGAGGGTTGGGCGCACCTTGAGCCGTCGGTCACTCGCTTCAAATGCCAATTGTCTTGGCTGGATCTTGAGAGGGACCAAAGTCTCAGTAGATGTATCCTGGTGGGTATTACGCTTCGGATGCTCTAGTTTGCGTCTCTTGGTAGACGGGTGATCCACATCTGATCCCACTTCCTCGTCCTCTTCGGATTTCAGCACTCCGTTCGAGCTGCATTCCAAGGTCTGCAATAAAAGAAGTGATATGTATAGGGCCTGGGCATAATGTAGTTTTGCACTTTCCCAAGATCAGGAATGTGAAAAAATCTACTCAGAGTGTCTCTTTTTGACAACTCACTTCATCTTTAGTTTGAACTTGGTTTCCTAACTTGTCACACTGCATCTCATTCTTTGCTTCTGAAACAGAAAGGCTGATTAACTCTGCAGATTCCACGTTGAGATTTTCATTCTTCCCAGATGGAAGGGGATGGCTGGGTTTTGTGCACTTTTTCAAAGGATTGTCTTTCTGCTTGGCCTGCTTAGTGTTAGCGCCATAACCCCATGCACTCAGTTGGCTGAGACTGAGCTTTGCTTGCTCCAGCAACTTCCCAGTCGTGAATGTCGGAGGCCTGAGAATATGCTGTGAGCTCCTGAGATTTGCCAGGGGGTTTAACATCTTCTCCTTGTTCTTGCATAGTTGCGTACTGGACACGACAATCGGCTCCTCCTCGGTCGTCTCGGCCGGTGGCCCAGAGTTCCACCGCCTCTTGCCTCTCTTATCAGATCCACCACTCCTTTTCCGCCTGGGTGCCTTCTTGACTTTCCCAGTCTTCTTCATTGCATGAGGCACCTCTTTCTTTGGAGTGAGACGAGATAGCTCTCGCTGCTTTTCTCTGTACTGCTTCTGAAGCTCCATGAGACGCTCCCGCATGTCCATTTCCATCGAGTCCATCTGTTCTGGGCTTTTGAGGCTCTGCATGATCTCAAGATATGGGGAATTATGATACTGAGCCACACGATTAGCAATGAACGTTTGGATGTCTTTCTCAGACTTGGCACTCCTGTAGGAGCCATGTAAGGCCAAAATGCTTGAATCTGTGAGATTACTTCCTTCAGCAAAGGAGTGCTGTTTGCCATTTGCATCTTCTCTCTCTTCTTCAGTTTGTGGATCATCACTTTGATTGGATTCTTCATTGAGACACTGTTCAGCTAGAGCACAAAGAAGTCCCAGACCTTTCATCCTCTGAGAGGATTCCTCACAGATCGGGCTCGTGCCCTGTATCACCTCCTGTTCATCATTTAAGTCCTGTGGCTCCATTTTCACTGACACACTGTCCCTGGAACCAGACTGCTCAGACTCTAAAGTAAGATGCCGATCGATGCTGCTCGACAAGAGTTCCAGGCCACTGAAATCTATCTTCTCAGCTTCCCCTGCAAGATGCTCACTCCGAGTCACTTGAAGTACTTCCTTTTCAGTCACTTGCACTTCATCTGGTTCTTCCTTGATCAATATCTCACACTGGTTCTGAGATGTTTCTTTTTCAAGCACCTTCACTTTATCTGGCTCTGGAGTGTCCACTCTCTCAAACTGAGTTGGTTTGAGTTCATCACAACAGTAAGAATCTTTGGATTCCTGCAGCACATCAACATCTTCGTGTTCTACCTTTGTGGCAACGACTGCCATAGGCTTAGGATCACAGTGTTGGGAAATATCAGTCTGGAGGGTCATATCCTGCCACGGGCTGTCTGCCTCAATTGCCTCCTCCACTTTCACTTCCAAGTTGTTATGACTAGGGCAAGTTGGAGGGGCCTCCTGAGCCTCTCGGGGAGCCAGAGGATGTGTCACCGGTCCCTGAAGGGGAAATGCTCTTGGCCCAACCTCTATGGAGGGCATGTGGGCTATTGGAGGGGACATGTGATGATGTGGAGGCTGGTGTGGAAGCCAGGAGTTCCCATAGCAGTTGCTTCTCCACAACAGACTCTCATCTAATGAATCTACAAGAGAAATACATATTCATTAGCCAATTTAAAATAAAACAGCATTTACACTACAAAAAAATGTATATTGTGCTTTTACCTGGAACAAGGCTATAGGACCCAGACAGAGGATTTCGTGCATAGCGATATCCAAGAGGGGGCATGGATACGGATGGAAGCCAGGAGTGGCTACATCCATTCATTGGCATGCAAGCTGGTAAGCCACCTATGGAAGAAAACCTAGGCATTTTTCACACAGTTCTTCATATTGTGATTCTTATATAACCACAAATATCCTCACCAAACAATGGGGGGGCCATCTGTGAATATAAGTATGGATTGGCATGAGGGAAGGAAGGGAGAGCTGGCACATGTAGTGGCCATGGCATTCCTTCAGCACCTAAAACAAATGCATATCAGCATGGTAAAAAGCAAAACACGAAAATAGCTTCCCATCTCAACTTGGCATTAAGTACCATACCGGTATGCCTCAAGTCACTGTGAGGAGAAGGCATGTGAAGGGGAACTGGCTGGCTTTCATGCTTCTGATCATGGCCATGAGTGTGCTGTGGAGGATCTCCAACTAACACAGATGTGTTTGGATAGACCTCCATTTTGGCCAAGGCATGTATAGGGCTGTCCTGTGGTTCAGACTCCTTTTGGAACTGGACATCCTTCTCTGTCTTCCTCCTCTTCCTGTTGACTTCCTCCAACCACCTCATGAGATTGGGGGAGTGAGATTTCTTGAATGGCACCAAGACACAGGTCCTGCTGCACCCTGTCTTGTAGGGATAGGTGCTCAGATCAATGTCTTCAACTTCATCTCCTGCACCTTGTTGGTTCACCTCTCTGCCCATTTCACCTGGAAATTATCAGCCAAGACCACTGTTGTCAGACATACCATAATTGCTGACTTTTAAATCTTCTGGGATAGGTACCAATGTTGCACTTGCCAATTCTTTATTTTAAAAGTATGACAAGCAAAACCTTTTGACTTTCCTTTCTTCTTCATTACCTAAAGGTTGGTAGAACTTTTTATCAGAAGATATACAGGGTGTCCCAAAAGTCCCTGTACAACTTTGAATTATTAATTTAAAATTAACTGTAAGAGTTAGGACTAATCTGTTTATTGTATCATGAAATGCATCTCAAAAAGGTTTTTTTTCTTTTTTACAATATTAGAATACAGAAATGTGCTCTGCGTGTGTTGCATGGAGAACGTCAAGGCGATAACCAATTTCTTACCATGTCGCTGTAACGTGTCCACATCAACATTCCTTATAGCACTGCGACTTCTGTACAACTCAATGTTGCTCACTTTTGTGCGGTTTTGGTCTTTCACATAACCCCTCAGGAAGAAATCCAATGGGATAATGTCTGGTAAATGTGGAGGTCATGGAACTGGACCACCTTGCCCGATCCAGTTCGAAAGGAAATTTCTGCTGAGACATTCATGCACTGCCAAACTCTATAGTGTTGCGACACTGGAGTTTGGCAGTTCCATGGCCTCCACGTTCACCAGACATTACCCCATTGGGTTTCTTCCTGTGGAGTTATATGAAGGACCAAGTGTACAGTACAAAAGTGAACATTGAGGAGTTGAAGAACAGAATTCACAATGCTATAAGGAATGTTGATGTGGAATCCTTACAGCAAACGTGGCAAGAAATTGGTTATCGCCTTCATGTTCTCCATGCAACACACGGAGAGTACATTTCTGTATCTAATATTACAAAAAAAAACTTCTTGAGATGCATTTTATGATGCAACAAACAGATTAGTTCTAACTCTTACAGTTAATTTTAAATTTAATTTCAAAGCTATTCAGGGACTTTTGGGACACCCTGTGTGTCTTGAATGCAAGTTCAATGTCGGAATCGTGCAATAATTTCATTCCATGGGGCAGTAACCTTGTCCCTCCTGAAGTTGGCATCCAGGACGCCAACGATTTTAATCACTTCTCTCTCATCGCAAGGATGGTGGAGAAGTACAACTGGCTCCATCTTACCTGGGTTTCCAAAACCAAAGCTTGGGGATGTCATTGTGGAGGCATGAGAGAGGCCTCTGATTCCAGAAGTCACAGGAACGATGACAGGACTAGGTCGATCATGGCACAGAGTAGAAGTTGCTTGAAGAATGACACCTAAGAAATTTCAAGCGCGAATTTTTATCACAAAGCTATAACAAGCGAAACAACTTGGGCCTAGTCATGATTAGAGTCTCTCTGTACCAGGGGGATTCATTCCCATTTGTCGAAGATGCAGATCACCGTGAGAGATGAAACCAGAGCCGTGCGATGCAACGTTGGGGAACGGGGGAGCCGCATGGAGGATGCTTCTAGAGCTGACATCACGGAGAATCTCGCCTGGCAGCCGCATTTCCAAACGGAACTCCATTGCCGATGCCTGAGTGAGTCTCCTCTAATATGCAAATCAGCATTCCAGCTGCAGAGTGTCAGGTTTGAACGTGCATCATAACCTCGACATGCACTTTCCTCATCGTTCAGCCATCTCGCGGGCACGGAATACAGTTCACATCACCGTCCAGATCGGTGCAATTCACTCAGTCGCGAAGAACGGGACGAAAATAACTTTTTTGAACGGTTTAGATAACCTACAACTGCTTGCGTAACAAAAGATTTCTGCGTGAAGCTGCGTAGGCTGCTCAGATCTCGTCACACCGTCGCAGTACTTGACGACGTTGCTCATCGTCCTTACTCTCATGAGTCAACGAGCCATTTGCGCCACTAGCACGGTTGCACTCCTCAAAGATAGAATTGGCTCCAATCTTTACTGCTGCTGTCGTAAAGAGTCACTACATCTTATCTTTTCTTTTTTATAAAAATATATTTTTTCAAATGGGATATCATGGGAGTTAGTATTTACGAGAGCAACGGTTCTTGTGATTCCTTCCTGAGCTCGGAGTCAGGGGAACGAGCAACCCTGCTTCACGTGCCTACTTTCGTCTGCTGCAGCCCCGAAGCATGTCCGCTGACGGGGAAGCGCAATAACACAATGGGCCATGAGTCAGCAAATATTTCAGGAGAGGGGAGAAAACCTGGCCCAAGGCGACATCATCGATTCAGCGTCTTGTTTCTTCCATCTGGGAAATTTTTTCCTGCATCCGTTTAAGCCCTACTCTGCTGCCACCTTACCACACGGTTGATGGGTGATGACCAGGTCTGAAACTATGCCTAAAAGCCAAACTGGCAAAGTAAGTTTAAGGTGATAGTTTAATGTGACTTAGCCTAGGCCTAGTTATAGGCTAGGCCTCGGCTCATCACATATATTAAGTCACTGAAAATCGATCCCGCATAGACATAAGTTCAAGTAGAAACAAAGCGCTAGCCCAGAAATTGGGAAGTGTGTCAGACGCCTCAGAATTTACGTACCTTTGTCATGCAAAGACTCACCCCTAGGCTCTCAGGTGAAAGACGATGATCCGTGTATATGCTTGGACTTAATCCTCGCATATGCTAATGAACTTCAGGCTTCATTTTAATATTCCATGTGATATTCCTCTGTCGATGCATAAATTGATTCAAAATGCTTATTTATTCATAATTACATCACATACTTTTAATTATACAGTGCAACTTATACATCTTAATAGATGAGCATATATATTCAATGATGAAAATGATAGTATGCCCATGAAGTACATATTAAAGGTGGTATGAAGTAATTTGCCATGCAGCAAATGTTCCTATTCATGCTGGATCAATTTCCAATAATGGACTTAAATAACCTAGGTCTAAAAATAACCTAGGGTTGGAGAGTAGGAGTATTGTGCATGAGTGTTTTATAGTAGACCTAGGCTTAATAGCATAAAATTGTATTATTAATCTTATAATCTTTGGTATAATTTTAGTGAAATGCCTGATATTTTCACTTGCAGATGAAGCAGCTGAGCCCACCCTCTGGAATTGACATTTCAGATGATGAGCTGGTCAGCATATCTGTTCGTGACTTGAACCGACAGCTGAAGCTGAGGGGACTCTCAAGAGAAGAGATAGTCCGGATGAAACAGCGGCGCAGGACCTTGAAGAACCGAGGTTATGCAGCCAGGTTGTGCACAAATTCAATAATAATAATAAATAATGTGTTTAATTTTAAATGTTGACCTGCTTGCAAATGCAGCAATAATGAAATTTAAGGTTTTCCTCTCCAGTTGTCGGATAAAGCGCATCGAGCAGAAAGACGATCTGGAGACGGACAAGGTCCACATGCACATGGATTTAGAGAAGATGGCAGAAGATAATGATCGGATGAAGCAAGACGTCAATTCGCTGATTGCCAAGTGCGAGGCCCTAAAGAAGTTCGCCCAGCTGAAGAAGATTCCCCTTCCTCCAGAGCTGCAGACCATCCAGTGATTTGCACACATAACTTTGCAGTATTTGTTGGTGATGGTTACTCTGGGTTCTCAGGTACCATAACTGATATTTTTTTAAATATTACCTGTACCAAAGATCTGAAGTATCCAAGTGCACCTCTGGGACATGAAATTTACCATTGTGTGCCTTATGCGCTGCGATATTGACATTCCAATTTACCATCGTGTGCCTTATGCGCTGCGATATTGACATTCCAATTTACCGTGATTTTTCTGTCTTTTGACTGATGTCTGTGCCTTTGCATTCTATAATGAAGTTTTTGGATAGTTACAGCTCTCGAGTTATGACTTGTAGTATCGTCAAAATCAGACCCAAATAGTCGTGTTTGTTACTCTATGGCTTGCCGTTGGTGGACCGTTTCAGAGGAAGTGACATTTTTTCATGAGCTCGTGAAAAGAATTAATTCTGTCTCAACTTTCAACCAACTCAAGACGCTACTTGCATTCGTGTTTCAATGCCAAAACTTTGAAGGTTTCAAGAAATTTAAATTTAAAATATATACAGTGCATTCTATTGATCCTAATTGAAGCTTCTCCGTGAAATCCTTATGATAGCGTCAAGATAGCTTCCAGTGCCATGAAGCAAACGACCCGCTAGCGAGGCTGGAAAGGCACAAAGATAGGAGGTGAAAGGTGAAGGTCACGTCAGTTACGTGTAACAACTCATTTTAGTAAAGTGAACCTGTCAAGGAAACGTCCTGCACATGTGACGTTATTGAATTTTTTCTCAAATCAGAAGGACGACGATACAAATGAAAAGCGTGAATCATACGGGCTAATGAATTTCCAGTTGCACATTTCCGCCGTGATATTTGGGCTGAATCAAGAAATAAATTTAGTTAATTTTAAGCTTTCTTCAGATATTGAATGTGCTTTCATCATCTACAGTTCAAATTCCGTTTCCACCATTTCATAACATTTTTCTTAGTTTCATTTTCTTTGTTTGCGCCGTTTCGCGTTTTTGTTGAGTATATCTCACCTGCGTTTTGGAAAAAACACAATACAACCTTTTTACGTCCTTGAGTTGCTACTGTTTTCTGGTAGCTTGAGTTTTCCTTTCACTGGCATAGAGAACATGAGATTATGTTTTTATGTCAGACGAGCCAGGAGGAGCCGAAGTCCCCTCAGTCCACCCTTGCATGCACCACTGCTCCTGGTCTGTGATTCGTGGCATTCCACTGCCCATGCAGTGTTAGTGGTATACTGAGTCTGAACTCTGATAGAAATAATCTGTTGAATGTTCATGATCATCCAACATGCAAAAAATGAAAAATTACAAGACGAATACATGGAAGCTCTTTGCATCTGTAATTTTATCAAGTTGGATACATGAAACAATCATCTCTTTTGAAAATGGCAAGCCCCTCATTTTAATGCATACATAGTTTGATACAGCTCTCCACGGTGGAAAGGAGACGATCTTGCATGTCAGTCGAAAGAGATGAGTTCTCCGACTTGGTCGTTGGGTTTGTTTTCGTAAGGCACCTCGAAATTCTGTGGGGATTGGAGACCGCTACCCATCGGCACGGAAGGGACTGACTGCATCGGCATGCCTGGATATTGCGATGCATTCGACGCCGGGAACGTTCCTATAACACCGAGCACGCCGTCCTCACAAAGAGACCCCCCCAACCGTGAAAGTCCAGGGAACTCATCTCACCGGGAATCTGATACGTCGAAGCGTGTCCCGGCGGAGCAGGGACGCCAGGAGGAAAAAAACCCAGCGGCTGCGGCTGCGGCGAACCCTGCACGCCCTGCGCGGGAGCACCGAGCTGCTGCAGCGCCGGCTGTCGAAGAAGCGGTCCGACCATCCCCGGCTGCTGAGAAGGCCCAAGACCCGAAGGCTGCCGCGGACCCATGGTTTCATATCCCAAAGGCTGCCGAGGGACTCCGGTCGGCCGACTCGCCGCCATTCCTCCCACGTATCCGGCTGGAGCAAAGCAGACATCAAGAGTTCGTGCCGGAGCAATTGTAGATCGCCTTTTTCAAGTCACGACGAACGTTAACATTACGTCAGCATTCTTTTTAAATCAGGATCCTAATTTGTTACGAAACGTGGAACATAAACCTAGTAAACAGAATGCATTAAATAAAATGACATCAATTAAGCATAAATCTGGGAATATCCTACGATACGCGTAATTTAGGTCTCTCGTCTTCGCGCATCGGTCTCGGGCAGAAAAACAAAACGTAAACGACACGGATGCAAACGGGATACCGGGTGGGACGGGGTAAGCGGATGGGACGTGAGACAGAGGGTAGGGAACGGGCATCTGTGACTGTCCCGTTTCGTAGGGGACGGGCATCTGTGACTGTCCCGTTTCGTACGCCTGCTTTTGCTGCTCGTGTCTCATCTGCATCTCGCGCTCCTGCTCCTGCATCCGCTGCATCGCCATCAGCCGCTGGTACTGTACACGGGCAAGGGTGCATCGCTCGGCATCTTCCTCGCAAACGAAACCCGATGCGAACCCGACCCACCTCGAGATATTCCTGTTTCTTCTTCCGCAAGATCTCCAGCTTCTGCGCCATCTGGAGCTGCCGAAGACGCTGCGCTTCCTCCGCCTCTCGACGCTTCCGCTCCCTGTGATCTTCTCTTAGCGCATCCAGCGCCGCTCTCGCGTCCCGGATCTGGCTCAGTCTGTCTTGAAGACCCTCGTAGTGATCTGACGGGAAACAGATGCGAGTAAAAACCCTGAACGCGACCAGAAATGGAACTCGAACCACTCACATCGCTTTCTCTCTTCTTCCTCCATGGCTCGAACGAGCCTGGAATGGAGCGAGGTGATGTCGAGGAAGAGCGTCTGGACGAAGGAGTCGTTCCCGACGTGTCTTCCCCGACACTCGTTTGCTCTCATCCGATTCACGAAGATCTCGATCTGCATCCGGGCGTTCGAGATGAATGCGTCCAGGTCTCCCGGCTCCCCGTTTGAGCGTGCCTGAGGCGAATCCATCGTCGATCGAGC